ACACCGGGGGTGGGGGGTCATCCCACCTGGCTGGCGCCCCCCTAACAGAGCCTGCAAGCCTCCAGAACAGCAACAGAGGAATGGAGGTGGAGTAATGGCTTTTGATTGCAGGGAGGCATGTAGGCCTGGTTCTTGTATAAACAGCATGGGTAAGGCTCAGAAGTGAAAAGGCTAGTGGCTAGCCAGACTGACAAAGGGTCTGTCTTTGGCCGTGTTTGAGCCCTCTCTCCCCAGCTTCCGCGTGATTCAGGCTATCAAACAAAACCCTGCAAAGCCATGTCGGCTTCCTGCGTAGGCAGACTGCCAACAGAAGTGGCTGCTGGGAAAGGCTGAGATGCACTTGCAGGGTAGAGGGAGCGGGGAAGACAGCAGTCGGAGAAAGGAGAGCGAGCCAGAAGGCTGGGAAAGGGCTCAGGGAAATGCAGCAAGGTCTGGGGTGGAACAAGCCTCGACTGCTGACTACTGAGTCCCTGGAGCAGAGAGCGAGGCCTGGCTCCCCAACCAGGCACTGAGGAAGCGATACCAGCAAGGGAGTGAGTAAGGAAACTGCTGGGCTACGTCTACACTGGTATGATTTTCCAGAAATGCTTAAAACGGAAAAGTTTTCCGTTATAAGTATTTTTGGAAAAAGCGTGTCTACATTGGCAGGATGCTTTTCCAGAAAAGCGTCCGTGCCAATGTAGACTCGCTTTTCTGCTAAAAAGCCCTGATCGTCATTTTCGCGGTCGGGGCTTTTTTGCGGAAAAGAAATCTGTGCTGTCTACACTGGCCCTTTTCCGGAACAGTTTTCCGGAAAAAGGACTTTTGCCCGAACGGGAGCAGCATAGTTTTTCCGGAAAAGCACTGATGATTTTACATTAGATCGTCAGTGCTTTTCCGGAAATTCAAGGGGCCAGTGTAGACAGCTGGCAAGTTATTCCGAAAAAAGGGCCCAGTGTAGACACAGCCCTTGTGTCTGTGTGCGAGGAGACACTTTCCTATGCCTGGAAGGGGAAATCACAATAATGCCTTGAGTCACCAGGGGACCACAGCACCCCGGCAGAGACAGGGGCTGCAGACAGAGGCAGAGGCGGCAGGAGAGCACAACTTCAAGACGGGAGGTCGCCCTGATGAGCTATTCTCAGAAGGGCCAGACAGAGGCGCCAGATCTGCAGCGAATGGAGCACCCTGAGCCAGCCACTAGCACATCAGGGACCAATAACGAGTGACGTGACCTGCCTTGGAGATGGGCTAGGTTTTCATTTCTGCCCACGGACAGAAGAGATTCCTGGGACACGCTGACGGACCTACAGAGGGAAGAAGATACGCGGGCTGCACATTTCAACCTTGTGTAGCATTCAAGAAGTCAGTCACAGAATCACAGAACTGGAAGGGACCTCGAGAGGTCACCGAGACCAGTCCCCTGCCCTCATGGGAGAACCAAGCACCGTCTAGATCAGTGGTCCCCAACCATTTGAGGTTACCAGGTGCCAGAGGGCGTGGCCGTTCACCTGCCGGGCGCCAGAGGGCGGGGACACTTGCGTGCCCGGGGGCGGGGCCCCCCATAGCCACACGCCCGGGGATGGGGGCCCCCCATAGCCGCGCGCCCAGGGGCGGTGTCCCCCCATTCCCCGCACGCCTGGGGCTGGGGCCCCCCCATGCGCCACGCACCTGGGGCCAGCACCCCTCCCCCCAAGCGCCGCATGCCCGGAGCCAGCACCCCCCCTCCAAGCGCTGTGTGCACAGAGTGCGGGTGGCCAATTCGCGGCGCTCCTGGGGCCGGCGCTCACCCTGCAACATGCGCCCAGGGTCGGCTACGGCACCATGCATGCACCACGTGCCCAGGGCCAGGCCAGCCCCAAGCACTTGGCGGGTGCACACAAATGCCCCCGCGGGCGCCATGGCACCTGCGGGCACCGTGTTGGGGACCACGGGTCTAGATTATCCCTGACTGGTGTCTGTCTAACCAGCTCTTTAGTATCTCCAGTGATGGAGGTTCTACAATCCCCCTGGGCAACTTACTCCAGTGTTTCACCCCCCTGACAGTTAGGAACTTTTTCCTAATGTCCAACCTAAACCTCCCTTGCTGCAATTTAAACCCATTGCTTCTTGTCCTGTCCTCAGAGGCCAAGGAGAACAATTTTTCTCCCTCCTTGTGACACCCTTTTAGATACTTGAACCGCCGCTATCATGTCTCCTCAGTCTTCTCTTTTCTAAACTAAACAAGCCCAGTTCTTTCAGTCTTCCCTCATAGCTCATGTTTAATCATTTTTGTTGCTCTTTTCTGGACCCGCTGCAATTTCTCCACATCTTTCTTGAAATGTGGTGCCCAGAACTGGACACACTACTCCAACTGACACCTGACCATACAGAACAGAGCAGAAGAATGACTTATCATGTCTTGCTCACAACACTCCTGTTCATGCATCCCAGAATTGTTTGCTTTTTTTGCAACACTGTCACACTGTTGCCTCACGTTTAAACTTGTCATCCACTATGACCCTAAATCCCTTTCGGCAGTACTCCTTCCTAGACAGCCGCTTCCCATTCTGTATGTGTGAAACTCATTGTTCCTTCCTAAGTGGAGCACTTTGCATTTGTCCTTGTTAAACTTCATCTTATTTACCTCAGACCATTTCTCTAGTTTGAAATTTTGACCCTATCCTCCAAAACACTTGCAACTCCTCCCAGCTTGATATCATCTACAGACTTAATAATCATACTCTCTCTGTCATCATCTAAATCATTGATGAAGATATTGAACAGAACCGGTCCCAAAGCAGACCCTGCAGAGCCCCACTTGTTATGCCCTTTCAGCATGATTGTGAACCATTAATAATTACTCTCTGAGAATGGTTGTTCAGCCAGTTACGCACCCACCTTATAATAGCCCCATCTAGTTTATATTTCCCTAGTTTATTAGTAAGGTCATGGAAGACTGCGTCAAATGCCTTATTAATCTAGATATACCATGTCCACTGCTTCTCCCTTATCCACAAGTCTTGATATCCTATCAAAGAAAGCTATCAGATTGGTTAGCCATGATTTGTTCTTTACAAATCCATGCTGGCTGTTCCCTATCACCTTATCTTCCAAATGTTTGCAGATGGATTCCTTAAGTACTTGCTCCATTATCTTCCCTGGCACAGAAGTTAAACTGACTGGTCTGTAGTTTCCTGGGTTGTTCTTATTTCCCTTTTTATAGATGGGCGCTATATTTGCCCTTTTCCAGTCTTCTGGAATCTCTTCTGATGATAGCTAAAGGCTCAGATACCTCCTCTATCAGCCCCTTGAGTATTCTAGGATGCATTTCAGCAGGCCTTGGTGACTTGCAGACATCTCACTTTTCAAAGTGATTTTTAACTTGTTCTTTTATTTTAACTTCTAAACCTACCCCATTCCTACTAGTATTCTCTACGTTAGGCATCCCGTCACCATCCATCTTCTTGACAAAAACCAAAACAAAGACGTCATTAAGCACCGCTGCCATTTCCAAGTTTCATGTTATCATTTCTCCCCCTTCACTGAGCAATGGCCTACTTTCTCCTTGGTCTTCCTCTTGCTTCTAATGTATTTGTAGAATGTCTTCTTGTTACTCTTTATGTCTCTAGCTAGATTGAGCTCATTTAGTGCCTTTGTCTTTCTAATCTTGCCCCTGCACACCTATGGTGTTTGCTTATATTCAAGTTGCTCTCTGTCTCCCTCCCAGCGAACTGGGTGAGAACTCCTCTGCCCTTCTGAGCATACAGGGGGAATTGTAGGAAGGCACGGGAGGACTAGCAGCACTGGAGCAGTGTTGTCTGCATCTTCACTCCATAGCGGGTGCGTTACCAGCCCGACTAAAAGCAGAACCCACACTCTAACTTGCGCCCTCTGCCAGGCCAGCCCGCCTGGGCGTGAAGTACCAAACTCAGGTGAGAGGGTTGTGTGCGTGGACGGGAAGGCCGCGGGAGGGGCGGGGGCACAATGGAAAATGCTGGAAGTTTAACTCTGCAGTGAAATTCAGACCCTACAAGGCCTGGACCAGCTTACAAACAGCTCCGTGCCTCAGTTTCTCTGCCTATGGTAACAATACTTTCTCAGGAGTCTGATGCCTGGTCAACACTCAAAAATTAGATCAATCCAGCTCTGTTGCCCAGGGCTGTGAATAGTCACAATAATTAGGTCAATTTAACCCCCAGTATAGACACAATTTATAACCCTTCTGTCGACCTAGCTACTGCCTCTCAAAGAGGTGGATCAACTACAGCCTCTCCCCGAGTTACGAACGAGTTACGGACCAAATACTTGGCCGTAACTCGGTCTGTTCGTAACTTGGACCCCACTGAGTTACATAGCGATCGCGCTGTTCGTAAGCGCGGGTAGCGTTCGTAACTCGGGGACCGTCTTTATGACCACTCCATGGAAGCTTTGGTTGTAAATGCGAACGGTCGTAACTCGACCGTTCGCAACTCGGGGACCGGCTGTACAGCAATGGAAAAACCCCTCCCATCGATGCAGGAAGTGTTGACACAGCTGCAGTTAGCGAATGCTCGCCAAACGCTCAGAAATTTTTGCCTATGCAAGTGCAATGTATTGCATTAAAATGGCAGTGCTGATGCGAGCATCACCCCAGCCGGGCGCGTCTCCCCCACCCGCCTCCTGGTAGGTGCTGGAAATAGTGATTAGCTGGAGAACAGAAAGCACCAGAAAGTTATTTAATTCAACAACGGCTGCGCCATGAACATCCCTGCTTGACGCAGATGGCTGGCTGGAGCCAACGAGCAATGTCGTAACACAGCAGCGCTCTGTCCTGCCCATCGGTCAAAAGTTTCTTTGCTTCTTCCGGGTCAGCGTTTCCACCTCCTTCATGAACCGAAGGCAGAGCTCCTCCTGCCACGGCAGAGCCACACACTGCACTGCCACGGGCAGCCCCACGCCTCCCCGGATAGCCTGCCAGGAAAGACACAGAGAGGGATAGAGACCAATGGCCAAAGTCAAGGGGAAACCACTGAGAACGGTTGGCGCCTGACCTTTACAAAGAGCTTGTCCCACCAATCGTTATAGTGTCCTCTGTAGTTCTTCAGCTCGTCTTCATCCTCTTCCGTCACCGTAGTGACCGGCACAACTCCGGCGGGAAAGTCCAAGTAGTTATACAAAATAGTGTAACTTGCTGCCACTGTGGGACACAGTAAGAGGTTGCACATTCAGGTTACCAAGCTGTACTCGTTCCTCGGTCTTCCTTACAGGTGGACAAGTGTCCTCAAAAATCAGAGACTTCTACAAAGACACCACTGCAGCGAGACTACGTTACAGCCTCCGGCATTAATGCTTGGAAACGTTGAAAGGATTTTTTCACGCGTGCCTCTTGATGCGATAGGTACAACACCAAGAGCAAAGATTTTTCCACTCGTGATCGACTCCCTTTATGAGGGAGGCGTTGACTCTGCAAGCTTAGGGAAGATTTCAGTGCTAACTCCTCACACGCTGCATGGTAGGAATGCTGGACCATAAAAGACCTGACAGACTCTCCCTTACTGCTGTCTTCTCATGGGGAGTTTGTTTTTCCAGCAGACATTTCTTAAAACATCTGCCAGCTACCCTTCCCTATCATCATGGAACTTAGATCTCTGCTCCCCAAACTATTCCATACACAGACTATGTCACTCTCTGTAAGAACTACAGTACCATGAAAGCATTGGGCTGTGATGGGAAGGCTATTGACAGGTGTACAATTTTCAAAAGCGTGCAAGTGACCCTCATGCCATTTTCAGAAGTGGCATAGGCACCTAAATGCCTGTGAGGAGTTGGACTTAAGTCCCTTTGAAGTCAGTGGGACTTAAGTGTCCAAATATCTTTGAGGATGTGGATCTACGTAGCTCGGTCTCATTGGGACTTGGTCTCCAACGTCATTTTTGAAAACAGGATGGAGGAAGCTTTTGAAAAAGTTATCCTACACCTTTTGCAAAGTGCTTTATGGCTGCGGTCTGCCTTACAGGTGGACAAGTGTCCTAAAAAATCAGAGACTTCTGCAAAGATACCACTGCAGCGAGACTACATTACAGCCTCCGGCATTAACGCTCGGAAATGGAACCAGCCTTGAAAGGAATTTTTCACCAGTGCCTCCTGAAGCAACATCAAAACCAGTTGAGTTACCGGTGTGGACAGGACAAAAATCACTCTTGGCATAAAACAAAGCCTCACTCTCGCTTTCCAAAACAACACTGCAGGTGGTTTGGTCCAATCTATATCAGAACTAGACCCATTTTCAGCAAGTTCAACTTCCTAGCAGTGGCAGCGCTTTCTAGAGAGAACACTCTCGGTGCTAGGATATATTCTAATGCAGGGTGTCATGACCCACCCCCCACATGCTTTATGCAAATTAGCTTATGAATATGTACAACTTATGCAAAACAGATCATGTTACTATCCATTCTAATGTTACAATCTGCTGAATGTGTATGTCCTATGTTTGTGCATGTATCGTTCTTGTCTGTGAAGTTAGAAATATGAAGAGTGGATCTGTGGATAGTTCTAAATGTGCTGAGGGCCATCACTGATGCTCTGGGTCTTAAGGACTCAGTACTCAAATCAGCGGCATGTGAATGGTTTTGTACTATAAGCCCAAACTATGATTGGTCCTAGAGGGACATGTGACCATGCCATCGGGTATTGGAATCCATCTTGAAATTTGTATTTTTCCATGGGGCCGAGGAGGCGGA